AGGTTAACCCCAAGGGTATTTTGAGGCCAAAAGGTAAACGAGGGATATTCTTGTGCCAATTCTTATACTATAAGGGTATTTTAGACCCTTCTCCGATTTATATTTTTTCTCATATTTAATATGTTTACATATATTTAAATTTTTCACATTCAAAAATTGAAAAACAAACCTTCTTAATTATTCATTACTTATATCTATGATAAAAACAAATGAAGCTTTAGTGAGGTTAAATATTTTAGGCATTAGCCCCAACATGAATGCCGAGTTCTAAAGCACTTCCAGATTCAGAAAGACCCTCAATTTTTTAGGCAAAAAGCTCTTGGGGCAAAAAGGACCTTATAATTAAGTACTTCAATCAGTGAGACAGAAAGTGTTTTGGTTCAATCCATGAACAATAAAATGGTACTTGTACAAAATAGGAAATCATATATATCAGTGGACTATAGGAAATGTAATTGTACAAAATAGGAAATGTGGTTAATTAGTTTAGGTTTAACATCAAAGTTATCACTTTTTTTAAAGATATATAAAGGAGTACTATATTGTGATGAGAAATTTTGGGAGGTAAAATACTATCTATGTATCAAAGAAAATTCTATTTTTAGGACTCAAACGGGAGACTCTAGTTAGTAATTAAGACATATTTATCCCTCCACCTTTGTGATGGAGAATTTAATTTCTCTTGAATTGTGAGAAAAGCTAGTATATAATGGCAATTAATTAAGACAGGAAAATCGTTTCCTATTAATAAAGCGAAAGTAGTTCTATGTCAATCAATTTTATAATCTTTTATAAATTTGTTCTTAATTTTATGTCCTTTCAATAAGAAATATTTTATAACACATAAAAAATCTAAAAACATATTCAATTATAATTTACATTGAAATTATAAGGGATTATGTTCACTCATTTCCTCCGGTGCTGCTTCCTTTATGGTAAGATTGGTTGTAGAGCACAAAACAAAATAACACCATGATTTCAAGGCATAAAAGGGGCCGTTTGTAGGAATGCATTAGAAAAAATAATTCAAGTATTAGTTTTAGGATTACTAATTTTTTATTTGGTAATATAGACTGATATCTATTTAAAATCATTTTATGTATAATTAATACATAGCAAATCATGATATTAGTAATACAAGAGTTTTTATATATGCATAAGCATGATTTTAGACAGAATTGTCCCTAAAAGTGTACAAAGCTAAAGAATGTAGAGGTATTTTTGGAAGTAAAAAAAACTAGGCAATACATATTATTTTTAATACACAAAATTAAATACTCCCTCTGTCCCTAATTACTTATCCATTTTCCATTTATAGTTGTCCCTAATTACTTGTCCATTTTGACAAATCAAGAAATGACAAAAAAATTGTACCTATTATACCCTCAATTAAATGACTAATTACTTTGAAAAATGCAGAACTTTTCATCCACTTCATAATTAATAGAGGTAAAATGGTAAACTCACTATGTCATTAATTGATTTCTTAATAGGTGTGTCAATTCAAAAGTGAACAAGTAATTAGGGACAGAAGGAGTAGTAAATAAAATATAATGTCAACATAACCAGTTCACAAAATCAAATAGTAAATAAAATATAATGTCAACATAATTATCTCTTTGACTTACTAATATACGTTACGTAATATTATATTACTATTTTTATACATTCTACTAAACGACTCTGAAATGGTCCAATTCTACGAGGTTACTGAAAACCGAAAAGAACAAAACTCGACGTCTCAAGTGCAATAAATATAGGAGTAATAACAAACTGAAAGAGAAAAGAGAAAGTCAATGAAATTACTATGTAAACATTACGTAAAGCAAACAGGTACTGCCTATTTATACATTCAATAAGGATCTGTTTTATAATACCCATAAACCTGTATTCTTATTTAAATGGGAAAAAAAAAGTAATGCAAAAAAGGAAAAGCAAAGAAGCATATATTCAATAATATAGCAGAATTTTATATAAAGTCGAGCCCAATTATATATATATTAGTACTATTTTAACGAGGAGAAGAATGGTCCAAATGGTTCTGTCAATTATATTATTTAATTAATATATATATGAGAGCTTTTCCTTTTGTCTCTAATATAATATAATATAATATAATAATAGAATAAATGAAAAGGTAACTTGAGCTCTGATCATCCGTTTAAAAATTTTGAGTGTTTGACTACTTTGAATTTAGCGGGAAAAAATATTTATGTAATATAAAAATTATAACTCTTTTTTTTCAAAAAATGAGAAATCATCAATCAATCTGCCATCTGGTGTAGGATTAGGTATTTTTTGAGCCACGGTCCATAAGGTGGCCCAAATTCATCCCAATAAACTGGGCCTGAACTTTGCTATTAATGGCTATCTGGGTGAAACTATTGACGTCGGGTAGTTCAAGAAGCTTAAAATATAGTACAAAGTCCAGAAACCTCAATAATTTAGGCGTTAATTACATCTTATCTCAAAAGTTTTTTAAATTACAATAATTTTGGATTTTTCAGAACTTGTGGATACATTGCTCCTTCGCTCGATACGTAGCAAACGATACATATGTTATGTATAAGATATATACGTTATGTATCAATTACATAATTATAAACCAGATTCATATTGATTTAGATTTGAAATAATTGGGGTTATGTATCAACAATAACATATGTACCAGATCATTGTACACAAACAAAGTTGTGATGTATCTCATAGAGGTCGAGCGATGTATACAGATGTTAGAAGAGAGAGAGAATGGAAAAGGAAATTTTCCTAATTAATTCAAATGGTAGGAATTTTTAGAGATTATAATATCTTAGGTTGTGTAATTATGAAATTTTCTCTAAATTTTTTATTATTATTATTGTTTTAAAAATAATTTCATTTCATAATTTTTTTCAATCATTTCATTATGTGTAGAGCCGTCAAAATGGGCTTAGCCCATGGGGCCGGTCCAACCCAACCCATTATTGGGGTAGGATTGTGATAGGATTTTTAAGCCCATCTAAAATTAAGGCTTATAAGCCCTTGACCCTTGAGTCTTGATTGGGGACGGGCCAGGATTGACTCATGGGTCAAAACTATTTATTTAAGGTAACTAACAGAAATCTCACCAGTGTATGAGGTAATTACTTAGATGCGCGCTATGTTTACAAATCTTACTAGATTTTGGTGCATCCAGATACATGGACTCAAAATTAGGTGTAATTTATTCTAGATACACTCAATTCAAGTGGATTTGCATGTATCTAGGATACATAAACAAATTCCACCCCTTCGACTCCCACCCATCTAGCTCGCCACTCTCTTATCTCGCTTGCGTATCTGGGATGCATTATGCCAGATACATGTAGCTCGCGTATCTAGTATCCTAGATACATATTAATCACACTAGATTTTTCGCTAGTATTACTGAAACAACACCATTATTTGTCATAATTGATATGAAAATAGTCTCATTTGATGTTATAGAATTTTAAGCTTGAAAGGAAAAAAAAAAAGGGCTAACCTGCCCAGTCCGCGGCCCTTCTAGGGTTGGGTTGGGTTGAGCATTTTCAGAGCCTTTCAAATTTCTTGGCCCGCGAGACTTGGATCGGGTGGGACTAGGCTGACCCTTTTTTACAACTCTAAATTTATGTGTATGGAAATTATATCATTGTTGAATAGAAAACGTATTACTATTATGGTAGATGCATAATGAATGTATCATATTGATATGTATAGATAAAGGTGAATTCGGTTTCAAAAAGGGGAAATTTCAAAAACAACAAATATTAAGCCTTAAAAGGATTTCATAACTATAGTTTCACTAATTATGATTCATAATAATATTTTGGTTTGCTACGCATTTATATTTTTGTATTTTTTTCGCGGATTTTGGAGAAAAAAAATACAAATACAAACAAATTTGTATCAAAATGAATACATATTAAGAGGAGGGAGGCGAGCGAGATCGAGAGAGGGAGGAGAGAGGATTGTATTTTGTATTTATTTTACATTTTATTTTGTAATATTATTTAGTGCATAACTGTTTTGTATTTTGTATCAATTGTATTCATCCTCTCTTTGATTGGGTACAATTGATACATCATACATTTAAAAATGCCATATTTATACAATGTATTTTTTACCAAGTTGGTTCAAGTGAGCACCCTCACTCCCTCCTAAATTCGACCTTGCATATAGAATTGTATCATTGTTGTATAAAATATGTATCCCTAGAGTATGTATATAGAAGATGAATCATTGTTGTATGTTTTGTGTAAAATAAATATGTAATAAATGTATAATCAGTGTTGGTCGGATGATAAACACCATTCACCTCCAACCTTAAGGTTGTCGGCTCGGGTCACAAAAGGGAAGTAACTAGGGATTAGTAAAAATAACTAAATAAAAAATATATAGAATCAATGTATAATGTATACACACTAATAATATAATCTTATACAGTTCTTATACACTATTTATACACATGCATGCAAGAATTATCGGAGGAAAAATGAAGAGCGTCAAATAAGTTTATCAAACCAGTTAGTTCTATACCAAACGATCATAGATTTGATGATTTTACGGTTTTTATATAAACTCCGGCGAAATCACGTGCTCTAAGCAACTGCTTAAGCTCAAATGTCAATCTCGTTGCCCCAAATATTTAGGTGCCCATGTCAGTTTTGTAACTGCCAGGGAACCGTATCCTCACCAACAATAAGAAATCGATAAATTATTTGTATGTATTTGCTGAATTTTCTTAGTTTACATAAAATCCAAGTAAGACCTATTCGGTTTCCAGGAACCCATACATTACACTATAGATCCGCCCCGCTGCTGACATTGCTAGACAACAACTAAACCTTATGGCGAATAGCAAAAGTCCAGTAGAAAAATCACTAAAATGGCGAATAAGTAGTATAACACTACATATTCTCCCTCTCTTCCCTTTCTTGATGGGACATCGGTGAAATAACCTTCAAATGAAAAAAAGAATGAAGAAGATATGGCTTGATGAATTACAAGTCTTGCAAGGGGAAGGATTGAATATTAGCCGACTCAAGTGACCAAATCTTGACGGAGGCAGTCACGCTAGACCCTGTGGCATTGTTGAAAACGAAGAGTCGTGCTGCTCCATTCACTGCCTTTGTTGGGTAAATTCGCGATGTTATGACTGTTCTTCCTCCTTGAGCAAAGCTCTCCACAATTGAGTGGTCCACCTAAAATTCAGTTTATAAAACTTTTACTCAAATGCAACTGCCAAGTACTTTTTTTATAGTGAACCAACTAGACTACAAGAACTGAATATAAGCTTGATATAAACAAAGGTAAATAAGGGAATCATCATCACTTACCAATAATCTCATCGAATGTTTTTCACCGTCCAACACGGGTACTGAACTACCATAAACTTGTTTAGCAACTCCCGGAGCCTCTGAGGATCTGCATATATCAGATCATAACGCGCTACTTTTATCCATCTCCATTTTACAAGGACTATTATGACAAATTAATTGTGCCAGATAGAGAAAATAGAAGCAAACCTGGTTTGATCAGCACAGAAGTGAGTCTCAGCTCGGCCATCAGCTCCTTTAGAAATGTAGAAGTAAACTGGCGTTAGCTCAGATAGCGTTTGATCAGCAATTACAACGACACCAAATGGTCCCAAAATGCCTCTGCTAGCAGCACCTCCACTAGTAGAGCAGCTGAAACCTACATGATCTGCTTCAATTATTCCCTGGAGCGCGACTTTGTCCACTTCAAATGAGGCTTCTATATCCAACTGCACAATAGCCAACAAGTTTTAAGACTGCAGATTAAGCGCGTATAAGTATAAAGTTTGTAATTTTAAACAAAGTCGCGCAACAAACCTCTGCAGCTGAGTCAACATGGAGTAGCTCAATTGAACCTGGTTGAAGATTGACTTGCTTAACAATAGGATCACCCGCTCTTAAGCTTTCAATTTCTTCAACTGGCCACTGAAGTAGATGTGTCCCTGTCTTCTTGTCGTAAAGCACTGTCCTTGGAATACTCTGTTATTATTCGTATTACAAAATTATTAGAGATGTTTCATATATAATTGAGAATATACTTCAACAAAAATTCCAATTCACTTCACCAACAAATGCATTGATTATACAACTTTTTTCTAAATAAGAAATTTCCCTACTGATAGATATAATTTCGCACGATTATTGTGTATGGTGCAAACTAAAACAACAAAACAATGTGTTAATCGAAGTCCATACCTGTACAGATGCCCATCCCTTCTGCAGGTCAGCAGATTCACTATCAGTTTCCCCAATCCATCCCCACAGTACTCTTCGTTGTTTCTTCGGGTCATAAAATGTCTTTGATGCATAATATTTCCCATAATCCAGCTTCAACCCAATTCCACAATCCAATTCCGGGTTATCGGGTGTCCATTTATTCTTTGTCAAGTCATACGTCCCAATAGCATAGTGATCTTGCTTATTGTCATCTAAACTTGCTTTTAACACATGCTTTACACCCGGGCCGTTATATGATGTGTCCAACCCGTTTGTTTTTTCAGTCGATACCGGGTAAAAGTCCACACACTCCCACATACCCGTACCCGGAACCGCATGCAGCACTTCATCCAATAGCTTAAAGCTTGTGAAGTTGGAAGTTTCATAAACAAGTGCAATACCCGTTTTACCAATCTTAGACCCGATTGTTAAAAGCCATTGCCCATTTTGGGGTCCGGTCCAAGCAGTGGTCGGGTCTCTAAAGTCCTTGACACCAATGCCGGGTGGAGGAACCAGAACCGGGTTGCCTTTGTACTTGACCCAGTCTAGAAGGAGAGGATCAGATAAGTTGGTGGGGTACGCAAGATTTTGCACTTGTACATAATCATCAGTGTCACCGGTATAAAGCATCATGATCTGACCATCGGGTAGGATGGTAGCGGACCCAGTCCAGACACCGTTTATATCGTACCATTGATCAGGAACCATGGCAAAAGGCAAGTAGAGCCAGTGGATCAAGTCCTTGGATACGGCATGGCCCCATGTGATATTTCCCCAAATAGCTGAATCTGGATTGTATTGATAAAAAAGATGATACCATCCCTTGTGGTACAATGGACCTGTTGACCAATTTATTCACGTTAGTAGAAATTTCAAAGTAATTATGTATTTTACTTGCATTAGGTAAGACTTTTCTATGCAATTTGAATTGTAAAATACTCTACGAAATCTCAATATGTTCCGTACCAAAATTGCTATGCTTTTTGCGGCAAAAAGATAACGTTCTTTTATTGAAAATTTCGCCATGAGTTATTATTTTTGACCTTTGAATAATTAAGATTATCTTCAACAAGCTACTTAAACAAATTTTACTAGTGATATGTTACTATGTTATGTCCTCCTCCCCTAAAATTTAAATAAATAAACTCATGAAATTTATGTTATATATTTTTATCCTTATAATATATATTGATTTTTTTATGACTTCGAAATGGTAATAGTAATTGCTTCTAAGCGGCACAAGATAACCTACTCCATTTCAAAAAAATAAAAGAAGAGAAAATGACCAAGTGGAAAGATGGACAAATAATTTGGATGGGGGGCCAACTAATGGAATTATTACATTACTACAAAAAAGTATGACCCACATAACGTGATTGATTTCCAAACTTGTATAAAACTGGCCAATCATGTGTTTAATTTTTATTGGAAAATTACCCAAAACCAAAAAACTTTGCTGCCACACGATCTCATGTTAATCCCAATTATATTGGAACAACAAGCCTAATCCATCAACTTGTCGTGTTTATTAAAAAAAATTCAACCAATTTTTATGAATATCTAGAAAGGTTAGAATACACTCCATCAATCCTACTCTATTTGACTTGTCGTGTTTTCTTAAAATTTGTTATTTCAAAATACTTATCCATTTACAAAAATAAGATAATTGATTCCTCCCCTATTTCATCCTTAGTCTAAACAATGTTTAGTGAAAATGATTTAACTTAATTATTTTCCTAATTAGTACTACCTCCAATCCAAAATTATTGATATTTTAACATGAATTAATTGTGACTAAAATATCTGTAATTATGATTTTCTTTTCATATTAGATTTGGCATAATCATTATAGGGATTAGGTATATACCAAGGGTAAATTTGAAAAAAAAAATTAAACATCACATTGATTATGTGAAACATCAATTATTTTGGACGGAGTAATAGTTCCTTTTGAGTAAAAGGTAAAAGGATTAACCGAGATGACATACCCGAATTAATGATTTGCTCATACATGGATTGGTTGGCACTTATAGGCTTAAATCAAATAAAACCATAATTACCTCATGAGAGAATTTTACTGCCTTTAAAGTTTTAATTCATGGTTTAAGAATATAATTAATTAAATACTAACAGAAAATAGTGATGATAATTAACTTTGAACTCACCATTAGGATCTGCAGAATAGCATCCAATCAGAATCCAAAAGATACCCCAACAGATCAATAGCCATAAATATCATTAAGAAAAAAAAAAACGGTATAAGTATTTATAATTTTTTTCAATTCTAAGATCAAATAAATAGGAAATTACAGAAAAGTCAAAATAAGAAAGTTAATTACCGTTCATCCAATTTTTTTGAGGTTGAAAATGGTAAGCAGTTCTTTGCCAGCTAAGCATAGCATTGGACCACGCATAAGAAACGTGACTAGCATTGACGACATCTCGAAAAGTCTTATCGGAGACTCCCTGAGAAACACCTCTTGACGGCGGCGCCGGCGAACGGGAGTTACTCTGCAAGTCCGGTGATTGGTTGTTGAGGATCGGAAAGAAGGCTACAGAAAGCAAAAGGAAAGAGGAGAGGAAAATGCCGGAGATGATTTTAAGGGACTTCCGGTGGCCGGAATCGGGTTGATCCGGGAGGAATGTGTAATGGGAGGCGGAGTTTTCCAGGTCATAACTGGAATGGTACTGGGTGGCCATAATGGAAGGTAGAGGATTGGGGAAGCTACCAGTCTACTGCTTTATATATAGGTGATGAACACAGAAAATGACAGGGGGCAACTGAATTGAGTGAGAAAAGGCTTGTATAGTTTGAGGTACACTTGGGATTAGAGAAATGACCAAAATGATCCTTACTGTTTGGCAAATTCTTTATTTTGGTCCTTAGGCTAGTTTGGTTTGAATTCAAGTTATGATGAGATAAGTTTATGATGAGATTATTTTTTATTGAGTGTTTGGTTTGTTGTATTCAAAATAATAAATTTTAAGAACAATTTATTTGTTTATAAAAATGTCTTTCATGAATGTAAAAAGTAATGTAACAAAAGGGTTGAAAAAGACATTTTTGTCATTTACCTATTTTATCCCGGGATTACTATATCCCCAAGGGGAGGGATAACTTATCCCGGTACTAATTATTAATCCCGGGATAACTTATCCCGAACTTGCCAACCAAACAACAAATTAAGTGGTACTATAATTTAATCTCAGGATTATTTGGTATTATCCTTCACACCAAACGACCCGTTAATATATTTCACTTTATTGAAATGGTCTAAGGTATATAAAATGTGTTTATTTTGGTCCTTAATATATTTCACTTGATTGAAATGATTATTAATGTATAACAAAATAGGTTCATTTTGGTTCTTTGTCATAAACCTAATAGATTTATCAAAAATATATATTAAATTAACCGTGGACCGTACGAGGCCAACAAAATCACCATTGTTGTCTTCGCTTTGTTAGCTCTAATGAAAGCTCCATGAAATCTAATGTCATTGTTTCTACTTTCTCTAACAAAATTTATTATTTTCTCTTGCTTAAAACATAAATGAGTATTGAGTCAGTGGAATGATATTTTGAAAGATAAAATAATAAATTTTGTTGGAGAAAGTAAAGAAAATAGTGTTAGATTTTATGGAATTCTTTTTTTGGAGCTAACAAAAAAGATAACAAATGGTGAATTTTGTCAGCCACGTATGGTCCATAGTTGAATTTAACACTTTCTTTTTTGTTAAATCAATTAGGCTTAGGATAAAAGACAAAATGAACATTTTTTGTTATACATTAAGGAACACTATAATCTAGTGAAATATATCAAACTAAAATAAACACCTTTAGCATACATTAAGAACTATTTCAATTAAGTAAAATATATTAAAGATCAAAATAAAACATTATTCAATTAATAGGGGTGTGCAAAAATCGAATTGACCAATAAATCGAATCGATATAATGTTATTGGGTTATTGGATTATTGGGTTTTTAATGGGTTTATAGAAAAAAGTTATTGGGTTATTGGTTCGGTTTCAATTTTTCCTATTGAGTTATTGGATAAACCGATAACTCAATAAGACGATAGTTATTTACTACTTTACCCTTCCTAAATATTAAATATTAATAATTTAATACATAACTAGATACTATAACTATAAGTCTATATCAGATTTTCAGTATCCTACTTACCGCGTTAGTCTTTACTTTTTACTCTAAACCTAGAGAGTAAAATTAGGGTTAGCAACGATCCAAAGGCAGCGACAACGTTTGCAACAACGACGATAGTAAGGGCTAGGCGACGGTGAGAATTTTCTACCCTTTTCAAATTTCTCTTCTTCTCTAATATCTATCCTTGTATAATTTCTAGGGGTGTGCAAAAATTGAACCGACCAATAAATCAAACCGATAAAATGTTATTGGGTTATTGAATTTTTAATGGGTTTATAAAAAAAATTTATTGCGTTATTGGTTCGGTTACGATTTTCTCTATTGGATTATTGGGTAAACTAATAACCCAATAAGACAATAGTTATTAAATATTATTAATTTAATACATAACTATATGTCTATATCATATTTTCAGTATCTACTTACCGCATTAGTCATTACTTTTTACTCTAAACCTAGAGAGTAAAATTAGGATTAACAACGAGCCAACGGAGGCGGCAACAACCAACAAGTTTCCAAGGAGGGTTCACAACAACAACGATAGAAAGGGCTAGGCGACAGTGAAGATTTTTTACCCTCTTCTAATTTCTTTTCTTCTCTAATATCTATCCTTGTATAATTTCTCCTCTTTTGTAATCTCTATGTTTTTCTTATATCTCCCCTTCTACATACTCAGTTCCTCAAAAAAAAAGATTTCACTCTTAAATAATGTACCCAATCAGAATCAAACACCCTAATTTAGGTTAAATCTGGTAAGCATATGATTATTTTTCTTAAGAAATTACTTTTCCTTTTCAGCAATGTTGAAGACTTCCATTAAGAAATCTCTTTAGTTTCTCTTTAGTTTACCTTAAAATTATTTCATGATTGTTGCCTGATTATTGTCTAAATCATATTTTACAGAGTCATACATATGGTTGAAAATATTTCAACTAATGAGGTGGTGGTCCTGGGTGATGAAGTATTAATTCAAATGTTATGTGTCAAACACAATTTGTTCAGCCAAAGGGTACAAAAGAAAGAAAGAAAAGGTCTCGAGCATGGAATCATTTTGGATCATTTGTTGATGAAGAAGGGATTAAGAAATCAAAGTGTAAGCATTTCGATCAAGATTATTTTGCAGATTCAGTTAAAAATGGTATGAAGGCAATGCTTACTCATATGTTAACATGTACAAAGATGCCTAAAAGTGTTGATACAAGTCAAACTCAAATAGGCTTTCAATCTGTTCAATGAGGGAATACAAATGATGTGGTTGTTGTTTCTTGGAAATTTGAGCAAGAACAATGTAGGAGAGCTTTATGCCGCATGGTAATTGTGGATGAACTACATTTAAAGTTTGTCGAGAAGGAAGGTTTTAGAAACTTTATGAAAGTAGCGCAACCTCATTTTAAGATTCCTTCTCTTACCACTGTGACACGTGATTGTTTTAAACTTTTTTATGAAGAGAAGAAAAAGTTGAAGGGATCTTTCGGAAAAGCACGACAAAGAGTATGTCTGACAACTGATGCTTGGACCTCTTTGCAGCGGATTAATTATATGTGTATCACTGCACATTGGATCGATAATGAATGGATTATGCATAAGAGGATAATCAACTTCTGTCCAATTTCTAGCCATAGAGGAGAAGATATGGCTAATGAGATTATTAAGTGTTTGTGTGATTGGGGCTTAGATAAAATATTTACCATCACAGTCGATAATGCTAGTTCAAATGACGTGACTGTGAAAGAGTTGTCTAAGATATTCACTAAACGGGAGATCAATTTCATGAATGGAGAACACTTTCATGTGAGGTGTATGGCGCATATTCTAATTCTTATTGTTCAAGATGGTTTTAAGGTGCCTGTTGTGTCTATTGAATGGGTTAGAAAAGCAGTTAAATACATAAGGTTGTCTCCTGCGAGGTGTAAGAGGTTCCAAGAATATTGTGAAGATGTTGATATTAATTGTAAAAAATCTATATGTTTGAATGTTTCTACGAGATGGAACTCCACATACTTGATGTTGAATAGGGCTATTGAGTTTGAAAATGCATTTTTCCAATTATGTTGCTCGTGATATTGGCTTGTTACATTACTTTCAGTTTGTTGAGGATGAAGATGGAAGCGTTGTTGGTGCCCTTTTGAGTGTTGACTGGGATAATGTAAGAAAAATTACTAATTTTCTTTAAATTTTGTATGATCTTACCAGAGAAGTATCTGGATCACACTATGTTACAACAAACTTACATTTTCTTAAAATTTGTGAGATTTCTTGTTATTTGAAACAATTGATATCGTGTGAAGATGATAGTGTTTGATCTTTTGGGTAACATTGCTTCGAATATGAGAGAAAAAATTGATAAGTATTGGGGTACTCCAAAGAAGATGAACATGATGATTCTTATTTCTTGTGTTTTGAATTTTCGTCACAAGTTTGTTTCAGTTGGCTTTGCACTTCAAATGATATTTGGGAAAAAGGGTCCAATTTTAGAGAAAGGGGGTAGAGACTACATGGATTTGTTGTTTGGTGAATATGTAAAGTCCCCTTTTAAAGATAAAGGTAGTGAACACTCTTCATTTGAAATTCTAGTTCACTACTTTCAAGTTCAGGTAGTACTGTCCAATCGATAGGATCTTTAGGGACATTCATGGGTAATCTAATGAAACATAAAGCTGAAAATACAACAACTATCAAAATAGAATTGTAAAAATATCTTGCTGAAGAAAATGAAGTTGAAAGCAAGAACTTCAACATCTTGTCTTAGTGGAAAATACTCACCTAGATTTCACGTTCTTGCTGCGATGGCTCGGAATGTGTTAGCTATTCCTATTTCAAGTGTGGCATCCGAGTGTGCGTTTAGTACTGATGGACGTATCTTGGATTCGTTTAGAAGTTCATTAAATCCTAATTGGTGCAAACTCTAGTGTTCCTTAAAGATTGGATTCGAAGTGAATCACGACCTATAAGTGTTGAGGAAGATATAGACGTCCTCGAACAGGTTGAACAAGGTAAGGATATTTTAATTGTAATAGTTTTAATTGTTATTATAAATAGTCATTAACATTTTTTTGGTTGATTAACATAAATTCTCTATAGATTTGGCTAATACTAGCATTCTGGATGATTAGTGTGGAGTTGAAATTCTTCTTTTTTTACCCATGAATCTGGACATTTGGTAAGTCATTCTAGCTACAGTTGCTCTAAGTCATGTATTTGCTTGGTTTTCAATGTATAAGCCTTTTGTCAAGAAAGTAAATTAGGATGTGAGGTCAAATATTGCATATTTTTAAGCTTAACTTGCTCAACACTCAATACATATTTACTAATTAGAAGTGTTTAGAGTCAATTAAGGGACATGATGATACTATAAATGGATTAGTTGCTAATAAAAATGGAATTGTTAATTTAGTGTTTATGCCTAATAGTCTACATGACTATAAAATTGGGTTTAATTTGATTGTGAAATGATTTTGGAGAATTATTTTTTAAGAGGATTCTTTGTGGCATCTAGTGATGATACTATATTAGTTTGTTTACTTCCTGCTAAT